GATATTTTCAAATTTCCTTTTAATAAGGGTTTGATTTTATAAACATTTTGTCTAGACGGCCACCACCACCACCACCACCACCACCACCACCACCTCTTATACGATGCATCCATTGTAATAACGAATTTCCGCAAGATCAAGTAGATGATCATGAAGTATGTATTCGAATTTTAATTTCATAAACATACATGTTTGTTTTGTTTAGAAATCATGTCCAAAAATGCCAAGGTATATCTTCAGTTCGATATTTTATTTCGATTCTAAATTTCTTCAACATTTTTTATTGTAGATCGTGTATCGATAGATTTTTTTCGTTCTTCGGCTTTAGCTCGAAAAAAAAATAGTTATTTCAAGCAGAATCGTCAATATCTATGCATAGTTCCCCTAGACGAACTTGAACTTCCCAAATTTTCAATCGAACGAATAAAATAAATAATATGATTAATTAAACCAATGATATTTTCTATGAAATGAAAATAAATTGAATTTATTTGTTTCATAAAAAAGAAATCAATCAGTAAGTCATAAACCAACGTTTCTTTTTCCATAAAGTTTGATAAAAAAAAAATATCACACAGAGAAAACGTTGGTTACCAGTAGTTTCATGCAATCATGCAAGCTTGACACAACTAAGCAAGATGAGTGCAAGATATATTTGTTAACTTTATGCATTCAGAATTACTTTACTGAGCAACTATGAGACCATTCAATTAGTGGCGTAGCCAGACTTGGCCGGTTGAAATCTGGTGAAATATAATATAGTCAAGACTAAGTCGTGAGCATGCTCGACTGGTCCTGAGCTGTAGCCATTTACACTGAACTGTTACATAATAGAAGAATATCTCACAACGTATCAAATGAGCAAATATCAGGTTTTCAAAACTAACTCTTCTAACGTATCATCTGGTGCAGCGCAAGCCGGTTGCTCCTTGCAGAGAAGATTGTTCAAGGGCTGACGGAAACAAATTCTTCCATATTTTCATGAATTCTAAAATATAATATATGCGATATTGTTTTCCTGTTACACTCGTTTTCAATATAAATGTCCATTTACCATGCATTTTATTTCATAAAAATCTCTACCGTAGAACACAATATAATGCTAAAATTAATGCAGATCGTACAACTCTACTTACGATAGAAATTTCAAACAAAACACGCGTATCTTTCCTGAGTTATTTACAGTGTAGTTTTGAGAATGGCCTTCGACAAAGTTAGTTAATATCGTTTTTTTCTTCATGTAAAAAAACAATATTAAGGCTAAATTTAGGTGTGCGTATGTTCGCAACAAGAAAGCATACCCACACCCAAAACTCTGCTCTAATTCAACTAGGACCATCTTACGAGCAACACGATTCACAAAGTCAACTCCTCGTTCTTTTTGCATATCTGTTTCTTCGAATAATTGTAGAATACGTTTTGCTACTACTCGTTTTGAAGTAATTGTAAAGAACGCAAATTCGAATCATTCTATAGAAAAAAAAGAAGGTGAATCATACCCTTTAGAATTTATGATGACGAATTGTAAAATATATTGTTTCATTTCTTTTTCGGAGACTCAAAAAATCATGCCAACAAAAAACTGGCAACGTGAAAATTATCAACCATTCAAAGACATATTTCTTTGCTGTTGTTAAGACTTTTTTTAGCAGAACAAACGACATGATGAATTTTAGCAGCTAAAAATCCAAAGTTTATTTACATCCGAGGTAAACATGTTGTTTTGTTTTTTTCGTTGCAATTTGTTGTCGAACTTTACCTAAGAATCAGCTACCCTAATAAACTTTGGCATGATTAAGAAACAATGATACGTGGAATGAATATTGATATTTGAAGCATTTTAAGAATTCAAAAATCACTAAATTACTTAACGTCAGAGAGCCATCAGTGGCTATTCACCAATTACTTCTTAGCTCTCTAGTAAAATTAAATAATCACCAATACAGCAGAGAATAACACAGTAGCCAATGGGCTATTTCAAATCGACTTTTACAATCTTGTTTATTAGGCTAGCTTAGTAAATGATGGCGCACTATTCCTTGGTAAAAAAAAATGTTCGACACGCGAAAGCTTTTATTCATTCATGCGGGAATAGTACCTTGAGTAAAAAGCACAAGTATCATATAGACTTTTTCAAAGTCACTTGTGTCTATATTACAAATTGAATAGTTGAAAGCGAATGTCTAGTTTAGTTAAAAAAGGAAGTACGTAATCAATTTGTGTAATTCGACCAAGCCGTTGAATTTAGTTTTCAGTTTTATTTTATCTAGATCATTTTTATATGGAGTTATTCATGAGAGTAACAAGATAAAACGATTCAGTTAGTGTTGTTTTATGTGTGCCGTTTAAAGATGTCTGTCAACAAACTTATTCGTTTGTTGTTGGCTTATGTTTTGGATTATATTTATTGAATCACTATAAATGGTTCTAACTAAAAATTAGATTCATTAAAATAAAGAATATTTATTTGATTGAATTTCGAACTTTTAAACTTCTTGTTTTTGATGAAGTTATTCAAATTATGCGGCATCAAAAAATATTTGCATGATAAGAATAAAACATAGGAACACTTCAAATGTTGGACACGAGCATAAAAGCTTCCTTTTCTTTAATAGAAAAATAATACAAAAAACTTCATTGAAACGTTTACATTTGTTTTGTGAGTAATAAGATCTTGTTCTAAATTATTGACTTCATAAATACAATTTCAATAACTAAATTCGATCTGTTGTCAAGGATGAAAGAACAAATACGATGTGAAGTACTCAGAAATAATCTGTATTTCTAATCCAACAAAACAAAAGAGAGAAATCGAAATGAATTAATTCGAATAATAATATAGCGATGCACATGAAAATCCTGAAAGAACTTGATGATCAAACGTCTGGCAAGAACTTCACAAAAGTATGTTTTCGTTATGGGACACTGATTTGTAAAACTCATTTGAATCAAATCGAGCAGCGTGATTTATTTGTAGTACAATAATATCGTTGAAAAAAAGTTCTTTCGATTTTTTATTTTATTTTTCATCAGTAACTACTGATAATGAAATTACAGCTCAACCCATGTGTTTATCATATTATACACACAGTAATATTCATTCGGGTAATTTTCTTAAAATCTTCTACTTGATAAAAAAAAGACAGTTTCATATTACCAACAAAAATCACCCCGTTTGACTGAACCGAATAAAAGCCACGTGCATTTTTTTTATCTTAGAGGCATCAACTACTCACATTGTATAAAGTACTCGAGAGTTGTTGATTGCGTGTTTTTTCGTTTATGCAATAAAAAATGAGTTTTAAAATCGTTGCAAGCGCATGTTTGCTATGATTTAACAGGATTCAATAGAAACTACTGAATCATTTTATTGGTACTTACAATAAGAAAAATAAGTAATTCGTACCATAGAAATGTAATTTTGCAGCTCATAAGGCATCAATAAAAAATGTTGATATATTAGTCAACTACTCGGCTGAGTGCAGTGACCGAAGAATCGACTTCTAGATTTTGTTTTCTCTATATATCACACAGGACTATCATTTTATTAAGTTGTGTTTTGATCAAACATGTCTCGAGAGAATGTCTATTCTTAACCTCTCACTTTTATCTTCTGGCTCGGATAGTTCAAGAAAAATATTTACTTTCGAGATACACGGAAACTTTTCCTTCGCGACTTCATTCCAGTGTTTCGTTTTTTTACAATGAAAAACGCAATTCGAAGAAATAAATCGTTAACCTCAATAGAAATTTAAAATATTATATTAACAATCAACTACACGTGATACTATCCTTTCAGAATTGTTTTGTCATGAAATTTCTTTGAATAGCATCAAAGTTTTCATCGAAATGATAGCCACATTATCAAATTATGGTCTACAAAAATATCAATTTGGCAAAGATGTCCGAAAAATGCGTCAAATGTATGGGATGTCCGGAAAAATAATATACGAAGGTAGATGGATGCAAGGACGAACTGATCCTATCATAGTTGTTGAAATGAACGAAGTGATTACTGAACGTGAAGCCGCTTTTTACTTAGAAGTAAATAATCATCTACATATTATTAGTACACTAGGTTATATTGAAAATAGTGTCAAGTTAACCATATTTATACAAGAATATGCACCACAAGGCGATTTAGCTGGTTATCTAATGGACAATCCGAATAAGTTTACACTACCGAGTTTTGCCGAAATATTTTTGCAGATTGCCGATGCGATGAGTTATATTGCGAGTAAACGGATTGTACATGGTGATTTAGGTTGTCGAAACGTACTTGTATTCCGAGTCGATGAAACTCAACTGAAAAATAATTTAGTTAGAATAACCGATTTTGGTCTTGCCCGTTTCATTGATAAAAAGCCTGCTCGTGCAAATGAATTAGTGATTCCAGTCCGGTATTGTGCGCCAGAAATTCTTCGAACCAATCGCCATTCAGATTATTCCGAAAAATCTGATGTCTACTCACTGGGCGTTCTAATCTGGGAAGCTTTATCGAATAGCGAAATTCCTTATTCAGCAGTTGATAAAGATGATGTTGTTAAAGAAATGAAATTAAATAATGAAAAACTCACAAGGCCACACCCTTGTAGTGATGGGCTTTGGAATCTTATGAAAAAATGTTGGCACACAAATCCTGATGTTCGCCCTAGTTTTGCACTTATCAATGAAGAATTATCACATATTGATGTATCTGACAGCAGAGACGTTCGGAGTTCTATTTCGCTTCACGAGTAAGAAAAATTTTCTAAATCAAAATCGATCGAAGAGATACTTATGGATAATTTTTTCTAATAATTTGAGAAAAGCATCGCGAAATACTAGATTATAGAAACAAAAACTGTCATCAATTCTGATTTGAGATTTGTTTTTTCAATTGGATAAATGAGTTTCATTATTTTTCCTCGAGTTTTGACAACTAAAAACAACATAATAGTAAATAATAACAACATATGCATTGCAAGTATATCTTACTTGTGAAATATATGATGGAAATACAAAAATTACTTATGAAAAATCAATATTTTTGTATCAGCAGCAAAAATAAATTGAATTCGTTCAGAAAAGACCAACAATGTTCTACCTATCTGTCATAGTATTTCAGTATAAGCCGAATCCTGAAAACTTGAACCCAGCTCGAATGCCATATAGGAAAGGGTCAAATCTGAATGTTGTAGTTTTTAATATTTCAACTGAACCAGCCATCTTGAGATTTTTCAAAAAATCGGTACTATATTAAAAGTTAAAATATTTTCTCGAAAAACGTGAAAAAATCCCAGAGATAAAATCGCTTTTACTGTCACAGAAAAACGGAACAAAAACATCCCATGCCAAAAAAAACTATAGACAATCGACGTCAAAACAAATTGATCGATTTTTCCATTAAGAATACCAACAAACTATAAATATGAACTTGATGAAGATATTCGAATCCAAAATTTACTCGGTGGCCAATTTGGTAAAATCTACGAGGCAGAATGGATATCAAGAAAAGAAAGACCAATCGTCGTCATTCAAATGGATACAGAACCGTCAGAATACGAAGCAATGGTTTACACAAATTTCGACCTGCATCGAAATATCGTTGATACTTTTGGATTCGTAGGTAACGATCGCGGCTTAATTTTATTATTACAAGAAAGAGCACCGTATGGTAATCTCCAAGCATTGTTACAAAATGGTACATTTCAACCATCGCAAAATGTACTGATTACAATATTCACCCAAATCGTGAAAGCTATGATCTATGTTGTTAGCAAAGGTATTGTACACGGTAATCTATGTTGTGCGAATATTGTTGTGTTCCAAGTGAATCCATCTGAGCCAACAGAAAA